TCGACCTATTTAGGTTTTAGGTCGGGGGTGTTACAAGATTGCCTAAAAACTCTTTCGGATTAAACTTTCAAAATTCGTTCAATCGTTCAGCATTTTATGATGGTATTGCTACCACTTGTTGCTCGCTGTATAGTCATCGGCATCCTCATTAGTTCATCATGCCTTTACTACTATTGTTGTATCATTTCTTGTTGCTATTGTAACAGCCCAAACATTTGCTCGATTGAAACATCATTACTCGGTAAACTCATTGCTTTCCCCTTGGTTAGGAGCCCTCCTACTTATCCCTACATCATTATGATTTTTCTTCGGCATACTATCTTTATTTCCACACATTCATACAAATGACATGATGTATAGATTACTACTCAAACATATTCACATAATGTAGCCAATACCAAATACCAAACATATTCATGTAATTCCCCAAATAAACATAACATGCATTTAACACGCACACTTACTACCAATAATCAAATGTACACATTCAACAAACTTAAACACTTGCTTATTAATTACAATGTTGGAGCTTGAGTTTGCATATACTATTTAAGTCCACCGTATCAATTGCTTTGACACCACTTGTGTAACACCCCAACCTAAAGGAGGTCAAGAATGCTAACGGAATTTCCACACATTTGTAGTGCAATGAATGCGAGACACTAAGCCTCATGTCCTCTACTTTATATATAAATTGCATTGTGTAAAGAAAAACCTTAAGTTTAAAGTTTAATGTTTAGCATATTTAAAACTGAATTATTATTACCATGTGAACCAATTCAAGTTTCATAAAACTTTAAACCATTGCATAATTTCACATTAAAAACCAACTCAATTTCATTTCCCTTTAGTTTAACATATTAAAACATCACAATTGAAAGCCGATTCAAGATTCATGAGCATAAAACCATTTCATTATTTTATAACATAAAACCATTTGATTAATTATCAAAACATATTTATACATTCACATAACTATCCATTAACATAACTAATCATCCAAATGTGGCATGAAGTTTACTAACCAAAATGGCCATCATAAAGCATAAAGTGACCGAACCTAGGTAGTGCTCAATCTTTAACTTTAAATCTACATATTTAGTAAATATTTTGGAAAACTCAATTCCTTCCAGCAATATCCTCATCATCTTAATTATCCACACTATAAGACAAATCGTGAGCTAAAACTCAATAAGTGTAACCATTTATGAATACAAGTAAATTCATTTTCATGACACTAAAATATATTTTCCGAGTATACACCGGATCATTTTCTTTGTAAACCATCTTTGAACACACCAAGAGTATACTCCAAATTATTCTTTTAGGATGCCTCATTGTACATACAAATATTATACACCGGATCATTCGTTTTGTATGCCATCTTGCCCTCTTTGAACATACTAAGAGTATTCACCGAACATTTCCTTGGCATGTCCTCTTTGAAACATACAAAGAGTATAAACTAGATCATTCCATTTGTATGTTATTTTGAATATGTCTTGTAAAGAATATACACTAGATCATTCCCTTTGCAAGCCTTTCTTGAAAACAGGAACATGACTTTGAATACTTGAAATCATGCTACAATATTTTCATGACATTTACCTAATGTATTTCTCAAGCAATTGCATGAACATAAGCCAAGTAGCATTAACAAATTATTAGGTTAAAACCATTCACAAGGAACATGAATTCTAAATCAATCATAAATAACCAAAACATATAGCATGAATTCAATACATAGTCGAAACATACCATGCCTTCACAAGTAATCCCATCAACAATTAAACACCTAAATACTTAACCAATTAACTTCAATTAACTATATAATCTAAAATCATCAATTAAGATCACAAGTATTTCATCAATCAATGATTATTAGAATGCCTAACCAAGTGACATAAACACCACACCAAACCGAAATCATCAATGGACATGTCCAATGTTCAACCATTTAATTAACACCTCTCTAATGTTTATTCAACCAATAATCACATGAATACATATCTAAATAACCCCATAAGTGTTCAATTACCAACCAACACAAGGATATAAATCATTTAGCCTCTAACAGACACTTGGTCGATCCTAAAAGCATCATCACAAGTAAACAATTTCTCAATTAAGCATTTAAGCATAAAAATTCAATAACTTTCAAGTCTTATGATATAATTGAGATGATATTATATCAACAAATCATCATTTAAGGACATCATCACTCATAGCACAAACATCAAGCAAGTCATAACACAAGTTCAATTGAACATCCAAACATATCCATCCTAAAACACTTATGCTCAACCATTAATCAAACTCGTTACATCATATCTTGTGGTGTAGTTGGGGCTACACTTACCTTAGGTTTAATTAGAGTTGAAAATACACTAGAAGCTCTTTAAAATTCCACCGTTATTCCTTTTGTTGTAGCTTTTGACCAAACTACCTAAACTTTCTCTCTTACTTTTAGCAAAATTCCTTTTCTCTTCCTCTCGGCCAAGATTGGTCTCCCAAGCAATAATTTCTTTCCTTATTGTTTCTATGTTTTTCAAAGCTAAAATGTTACTCTCCCTCTCTCTTTTTTTCCTCTTTCTTGGCAAAACCTTAAGAAGTTTCTAGGAAGCTTAGAATTATCAATTGAATTAAAGAATACTTATACTTGGTTGTTAACTATTCTTATACTTAGATATTTTTTCTAAATTAATACAAATGTATAAGTAACTAACCAAGCTTATTTTTAAGTTATAACATATATGGAACATTTAATTATACTATATCTCTATGTCCTCCAAGTTTGCACAACTTAACATACTAGTCACTCTACTTGGTCACTTAATTCACCTAAGCCCTCATTCTTTTAATTGTCACACTAAAGTCCTTAAGTCTCCCACACACTTATAGCACTTAACAACATAGAAAGTCAAACAATCACTAGTACCAAGACAAAGTATAATCATCTAAGTAAAAATAAAGCATGATACAAGTACAAACGCAAGCATAATATCACACAAATGCATAATAACGTTCTAAGCTAAAATGAACGCACACATGCATAGGAATGTCTCAAAGTCTCAGGTATTACAAAAATTCACTAGTTCTGATTTAATGTCTGATGGACTCCGCAAGGGTCGATAAACAATCATAATTCTAGAAATATAATTCCTTCTACTCTGACAGAAGCTTTCGAGTTGAAAGTTTTGGTATTTCTATCGCCCAAGTGACACAAACGGCCCAAACATTTTGTCGCCATAAAGACTTCAGTTTTCTACTACTGTTCCATAATCTTTCTTTGTAGCCTTTAAGAGTGTCCCGTTCCGTTGAAGTAAGGCTTCTAGTTTCACTCACCAACTCCATAGCATTAATATCCCTCTCCAACACCTCTAAAGTGTTATTCAAATTTCTAAAAGAGCTCATATGTGGTGAAAATACATAATGAAAATAATTCACATTTTTATTTATTTTCTAAAGTCTCGTTCGGCTGCTGGAGCTTATATGTGGTGATGGTTGGGTTGTTTCTCTACGTTCCTCCATAATTATCATTTTTTGTCATGCTAAGTGGGTTCGACTCGGTTCTATTTCTAGTTCCTACTACTGGTCATTTTGACGTCCAGATTGCACTGATGCTACAAAGGCTATGGTATTTCGCTATTGATTGTTCGTTTTTATGTTGTTGTGATGCTTCCTGATGATTCCCTATTTTCTTTAATTTGGTGATGTCCATTCTACTACAACATCCTATGTGTTGCTGCTGATTTCGAGTAATTGATAGATGATGCGGACCAACGAGACCTTAGAATTCATTGAATATTATAAGCACGACAAAAACTGAACAAAAATTGTCAACCTAATTTTAAAGTTTTTTTTACTCGGTTCAATGCTAAATGGGTCAACGATCAAAATTCATAGGCTTTGCCTATGAGGTAGGGATGATTTTGAAAAAAAAAAAAAAACCATAATTTAAGCCCTCAAAATTGACATTTACTTGTTTTCCAAATTTTGTTTCCCAATTTTTTGGATTTTTAGCATTTGTTCCTTTTTGAATTGTTTTAGGGTTTTGATCTAAATTTACTATTTATGTATGACTTTGAGGAAGAAAAACCTCACTTTTATTGGCTACTAAAGTTTCGGGAGAGAGTATTTCAATGTTATCCCAATTTTTGACATTTTGTGAGTCAATAAAATTGAAGCATATTTTCTAGTATTTGTATGCAATTCAATAGGTTATAGTATACTAGCATCCAGAACCTAGATCAACGGTATTATTTTTCTTTTAGTGAGTTTCCACTACGTCAATAGGTTGTCCTATAGAACCATAAGTTATCGGTGTCGGGATGTTCCAGAATCTAGATCAATGGTATTATTTTTCTTTTAATTAGTGAGTTTCCACTATGTCAATAGGTTGTCCTATAGAATCTTAAGTTATCGGTGTCAGGATGTTTGCAGTCTTAGCCCTTTCTCGACTCTTTTGTATTGGAGACATGGCATCGTGCAATGCAGTCTTCTCTTTCAAGCTCGATCCTATTATTTCTCCTACTTTAGTGTCAGGATACTGAAAAAAAAAGGTGACATTTGGATTTTTCTAGTTGGAACTAAACTTGCAAGTGTTGTAAAGGAAACTTGTTTCCATGAGATGATCTTAGTCATTATGGTGCTCACGCGTTTACAACTTTCAATTCTAATAAAATTCAATGGGAACAAAGCATAATGTAGTAAGTGATCAGTGAACACCTCTCTGGCAATGAGAAAGCACAGATTCTGAATCTAGTCTACTAAATTTTTTTTTATTAAATTCTGGAAAAAAAAAAAAAAGTAGATCAATATTTACAAGTAATTTTATATGGGGAAGACAGATTTAGTAGTGAGATGAGAGTTATGATAGTTATGTTGAATTGTGGCTTAAATTGATGAGTTGGTTTAGTTTAGATTGATAATTGCATGGGGTGTTTATATGTCCTAAATAAGAATGAATGAGCTGATATTTTCTGGTTTAGGAAAAAGGAATGTTCTCGTTGAAATTGGGAAGTATATTTCCTAAAGAAAGAGCGGTTAGTTTCCTAATCGAGGAAGTAGTGATGGCAATGCTTCTGAATAAATAGAATGTGTCGTGGTTAGTTTAGGTGTGGCTCCAAAATTGATAGGGTGTAGTGACAACCATAATCTTAAGGACGAATCGAAGGAACCAATTTTGAAGGGAGCCCATTATGCTAAGGAATCAGCAGTGTCTGAAAAAGGTCGAATTACAAGTGATCTTACTAAATCTTATAAAACATCCAACCTTGAAGCTGAAACCACAAAGAATATTGATCAGATTGATGAATTCAACAAAAAAGATAGCAAAGAGTCAAAGATATATTATTCTCAGCAACAATGGTTCCTCGGTAAAATCGAGGCTCCAACTACATAGCTGAATCTTTACAATGTAATCAGGAAAAGCAACCAAGATGCTGTAAAGAGAAGGACTACTAGGTCAAAGGCACGTTCTGTTCAAGACGAAAGAGACAATCTTGAAGCAAATAGCACAAAGATTGATTCTGCTCAGGAATCCAGTGAGTTTTATTGTGGGATTAAAAGCTTGGCATTTTCTACTCAGTATGGATCCGAAGAAGGAAAAGATAGTAGGAATAAAGGGTTGGCTGAATTGGAGAGTGGTGAAGGAGGAGAGCTGACATTGACCGGTTACAGTGGAGATATTGAAGCAGAAACAGAAGAAGAGTCAAAGGAAGATGATTCTGAGGAAAAAGGGTTTCTTAGTGCTGATAATATTGAAGAGTCTGATCCAGAATTTAAAGAACTGTTACAAACTTCTGAGAGTGACGCAAAAAATACAGAACAGGGACAAGAAAAAGGGAGTGAAGAAGGTTTTGTTATGAAGAAGAAGAAGGCTCTCCTTGAATGGAAAGAAGATATTTCCTCTAACGATCTTGAGCTACAAGGTTCTGATGGTTCTAGAGATATTTTGACTAATATGAAAGGATTGGAAGAAGAAATGCGAAAATTTGACGTCGAATGTGGAAGTGAAGATGAAAGTTACCAACTCAAGAATGAAGAAGATGATGTGAAGTTGATGAATAAAGCTGAGAAAAATCAAAATCCACCAAAAACGAGTTTCATGGAATGGTTAAGGGGACATGTTCAATTATATGAAGATTGGGACACTGTCAAAGAAATCAAGGCTAAAGTAGTTAAACTGGCAGCTGAGCTTTCTCATTTGCTTGTTAATCTCATGTTTTCATTGCCAAAGATTGACTTAGTGGACACAATGTTTCAAAGATTCCTTAATTCGCTAAAATATCAATGTAAGGATGAGGATTCGAAGGTAATTCACAGAATCATGCTTCTACTGGAATTCATTGATGAAGAAGCAAAAAAGTTTGAAAAGTTAAAGGAGGTGGACACTCTTGAAGAGTCCTCAGATACTGATGAGGATGATGAATTTCATCGCAGTGAACTGAGAAAACACTTAATTGAATACAATCAAGTTCATCAACTCATTCCCTAATTTTTGGATCCAATTCTGTGTTTGGAAAATATTCTATTGTGTGAAGAAGAACCAGATCAAGAGCTGTTTGTCAAGGACTTACTATCTCTACTCAAAGATGATCTCAAGGAATGTGAGAAAGAGCTAGAAAGTATAGCATCAAGGGTTGATGAATTGAAGGCAGAGTATGGATGTATTTTGGGGCCAAAGGATCAGAAATACATATATGAAGTGATAAAGTTAAAGATAAATGAATTGTGGAACCCATAGTTGGAATCAGAGGAAGACGACGACTAATGAAGTGATTGCTGAAGCTTCAAGTTGAATTTTCTAGCTCAGGGTGATAGCTAGGATGTTTGTCTCAGCCATAAATAAAACAAGACAACTGAACTGCTTAAAACTTTTTAGAGCTAGTTTCCACTGTTTTTTTTTTTTCTCTCATTTCGATCGTACTGCATATAATTTTTCAATATATTATAGTATTGGTAGCTGGTTAAAGAATATTTTTTTCTCTGGTATTTTGGTGCTTAAAGATTGAATTGTTGATATTCCTTCATTAATTTTCTCTATACTGATTTCCAATGTTTCATTTTTTGTTTTCATCATCATCTTTCTCTCTCTCTTTTCCATTATGGCAATTTTAATGCTTGCTTAAAGTCCAGCAAGTAGATTAAACATGGCTGAATTGAACCCTAGCTGGTTTGGAAAATGACTTTCTTTTAATGAAACTTGCACTTTTCCCTTCAAAGTGAGTTTGCATATCTCACATGTATTTGATTTCTACTCTGGGGTTTGTTATTCCAGCCTCTTCAGGATACTATGACTATTTTTTGAAGACCTCTATCGACGAGTTTATTGATGTAGTAGCAGTATACAATCAGCTCTACTTTGATACAAGGAAAAGGATAAAGGAAGAAGATGATGAATAGATAGAGAAATATAGATAGAGAACGAGAGATGAAGAAACAGAGATAGAGATAAAATTTGTTATAACTCTATACTATTCTCATTCTCCATTTTATTCATTCTTTATCTTAACTACAATGAAAGATACTACTAACGACCTACAATAATTAAACTCAATAACTAAATTTAAGTTACTAAGAATCCTGGCCCAAGCATAATAATTCGGCCCAATGATAATTAACCCATAATATCCAGCTACTCGTGAGTTTCATTCTCCCCCATTCAATTAAGTTCCTTATCCTCTTCATTTTTTCTGTCCTCTTCTTTGTCTTCCCGTGTTCTTTCTTCTTCCAAGCCTTTTCATTTTCCAGTCCCCATCCCATTCCATATCCATTCTTTGTATCAATGCACTCTCCTTCAAATTGTCCTTATCCTCAAGGGAGAATGATGGTAATCATTTAACGATCTCTTCTATAAACTCCCAGCTAGCATCTGCTAGGGAAAGGTCACACTAGTGGATCAACCACTGAACAGCTTTTTTGTTCCTCTTTTTGATAATATTTTTATCAAGCACTACTAATGATTGAGGAGGAGAGCTTGGGTGTAGATCAAAGAGTTTTTTTATTGCATGAGAAGACCCAATCGATTTCTTTAAAAGGGAAATGTGAAACACTAGGTGAATCGAAGCCGAAGAAGGTAACTTTAATCGATAAGCAACTCGTCCTACCCTTTCTTCTGCCATGAAAGGATTGTAGTATTTAGAAGGTAGCTTATGAAACAACCTTTTAATGATTGAGTGTTGTCTATAGGGTTGTAATTTCAAGAACACCCAATCTCCTACCTCAAATTGGCAATCTTTTTTATGTTTACTAGCAATTTGGACCATGTCGTTCTAGGCTCTCTAGAGATTGTACTCGGAGTTATTGAAGCATGGTTCTCGGGATGTAAGATAGGAGTCCACATACTCAATTTATGAACCTTATAAAGAAGTGGAAATTGGTGTTGTACAACCATTCGGCCAAAGGAAGGCACTTTGACCATTCTATAAGTGTATCTCCTGCCATTTATCTTACATATGTTTCGAGATATCTATTGACTACCTCTATTTTCCCATCATATTAAGTGTGGTAGAGAGAAAATAGTTCTTTCAAGAAGGCATTGAGAAAGATAAGGTCTCTGTCATTAACAATGGAGCTCGTTAGCCCATAGAGTTTAAACATTTGGTCTACAAATAGCTATGCCACCATATAGGTAGTGTAGGGATGAAGGAGGCTCATAAAATAAGCATACTTTGTTAGAAGGTCGACAACTACAAACAATATTATTTTTTCTTTAGACTTTAGGAGTCTTTTTATGAAGTCCACACAAATGTCTATGAAAACCTCTTGGGGTCTAGAGAAAGGTCGGAAAGCCAAGGGTCACCACTAATTTTGCTTTGTTTACTTTACGAACCGAGCGATTTCTTATGTATTATCCGATGTCTCTTTACTACCCTTTTTAGTAGAAAACCCCCTAGCTTTTTAGTTGTTATTGTCATCATTGAGTGACATCCTAGGGTAGTGTTGTGGAACGGACCCAAGATGTGAGTGAGCCTTCAATTATGCATCATCTCCCGCCACTAATTTGTCTTTTCATGTGACGATATTATTCTATCACTTGTAGTTAGGATGAGACATAAGGTTCTTAATCAACTCCGTCAATAGTGCCTAAATCTTGAAATTAACGACCCAAGATTATCTTACCCTCGGTAGTAAATCGGAGGAAAAAGTAGAGATGCCCATGGATAGGACTTCGGTATAAGGCATCCTAGATAGTGCATTGGCTACCACATTCTCCTTACCATTCTTATATAATATTTCATAGTCAAACCTAAGCAGACTTGGCTAACTAATTGTATGGACTAGTAGTGGAGAGTTTCTAATCTAGTAGGTACTTCAAACTAATGGTCGGCTTTTATTTTAAAATGTCTAGAGTCTAGATAATGCCTTCACTCGTTTGACTATATACATAATTGCCAACATTTCCCTCTCATAGGCTGAAAGGGCTTGGTGTCTAGGAGATAGAGCCTTATCGATATAGGTAATAGGATGACCCTCTTTTGCAAGAGCTATCCCAATTCCTAGATTTCTAGATTTGAAGCATGACTCTCATAGTAAATTCCTTTATAAGGTCCAGTAAGGCTAACACTAGTGTAGTAGCCATAGCCTTCTTGAGTTTATTAAAGGCTTTATAACTTCGTCAATCTATAAGAAGTTATCCTTCCTTAGCAAGTATATCTATGGTTTGCTAAGTACTCTATATCCCTTAATAAACCTTCCGTAATATCCATCAAACCCAAAATTCCTCTCAATTGCTTTAGATGCCTAGTGGATTAGCCGATTAACCATAGTTTGGATCTTCTTGGGATCAGTAGAGACATATTGATTAGAGATATATTATCATAAATACTTAACCTTAGCACTTCTAAAAACATATTTACTAAGCTTAGCAAACGAGTCTATGTTGTTGAAGTAGGGTCAAAATTGCCTTTAGTTAAGTCAAGTGATCCTCTATGGTGCTACTTATTTATTAAAATGTCATCAAAAAAGACCAACACAAACTTTCTCAAGTGTGGTCTGAATATTTCGTTCATTAGGCTTTGAAAGGTGGTAGCACATTAGTAAGGCCAAAAGGCATCACCAAGAACTCATAGTGGTCGTTATGGATTTTAAAGGTCGTTTTAGTTATGTCAAAAGGTTACATCCTAATTAGGTGGTACCTTGACCTTAGGTCAATCTTGGAATAGATATTACCCCCATATAATTCTTCTAGCTATTCATCAATAAGAGGGATAGAAAACTTATCTTTAATTGTGATGCTATTTAAAGCCTTATAGTTAACACGCAGACCTCTATGACCCATCTTTCTTCTTGATCGGGACCACTTGGAGAAGCAAAAGGACTTACAATATGCTAAATAATGCATGTAGTAAGTATCTCTTCTACCATTTGTTCTAGCACATCTTTTTATGGACTTGAATAATGATATGACCTTTTGTTAATAGGTTGTACTCCTTCACATAAAGGGATCCTATGATCATGGGATCTATTAATGGTATGGTTCTAGGCTTAGAAAACACTATGTCAAATATAGCTAGAAAAGTAGCAATAGAGGGACAAACCATGGGGTCCTTGTCTTTTTTTTATTGAGCAAGCTCAAGTGGTACAATGCTATAGAGATATGCTTGTATCGCTTGAGTAGATTACTCTAATAACTTCTACATCTAGGAATTAAAAATGGTTTGTTGCCTAGCATTAGGGAGACCAACCAATTTTATTTCCTTTTCTTATATTGTAAACCTCATCCACATCTCCTAATAATTAGACACTATATTCTTAAGTTGTGACAATCATTATACCCCTAAAACCATGTAACCGTTATAAAGCTCCATTACCAACACATCCGCATGGAATAGAGCCCCATGCATAACCCACTCAAATCCTTTACAAATTGAAATGCACATTATTGTATTACCATTTGCAAGCCCCATAGCTAGAGGCTTGATAGGTGTCAGCCCACATTTTAACTTATTAGTTGTAGCTAGGTTCAAGAAGTTGTGAGTAGACTTAGAGTCCAAAAGGATATATAGTGTATTGGTGTTCTTATGCCCTACTATTTTAAGGGTTCTAAACCCACTTCGACCTCTAAGGCATTGACAGAGATGTGTGGGTTGAGTTCCTCTTTGTTTTCCTCAATAGGTTAGTGCTCATCTATCTCTTCCAACTCTTCTACCTCTTCATTTTCTATCTAAATAGAGTAGATTTTTTTCTACCTATGTCTATGCTCCGGTACGTAGGTATCATCACATTAGAAACACTAGGTTTTTATCCTTTTTTCTCGAACTCCTTACTAGTTAGAGTCGGTATGACTTCATATTCTAGTTATATGTGTTGGTTTTTAGGTTTTATAGGAGAAATGTATTGGTGTTAGATGGGTTATATGTAGGTCTAGGTGTTTGGTTAAATTTGTTGAATTATGACTAGAGTTTGGTTTGGTAAGTGGGTAGTGTTTTTTATTGGTGTATTTTGAGGTAGGTGTTTGTGGTGTCTTATTTTCGAAGAAAATCATAGGCTCTAGTTGGTATTTGTTGTTCAAACATGGAGACTAGACCCTAAACATCTTCCTTCAAACCTACCAAAAACATACACAATGCTTGTTGTTCATTTATGGTAGCCTTATTCCATAAGATGTCAAAATCATATATGTATGATTCTAAATTAGAAACTTGAGTTAGATTTTTTAGATGACCTAGTGAATCTAACTTGGCTTCGAATCTACTTGTCATTGCGGTTATATACTCCTCCCATGGTAGTTTCCTTCCTAAA